AGTTGGAATAGCTCCATCTGGATTTTTTAGTTGTGTCAAAATTGTGGTGTGGAAGCACAACCGACTGCAAACTCGCGCTAAAGAGTAATTATGGAACTGATTTAGGAAGGGGACCACGTCATGGCTGACAGAAGCTTCGCAATCAGAGACTTGCTTACAAAGCGAAAGGCCTTCTTAGACATGCTCTTTTCTCTAAAAAAGGTAACTTAACCTTTTAGTCATTGCTATTGAAAGGATAGCATTCTTTCTCTTACAAAATAGATCAGTAACTGTCCAAAAAGTCACTGAAGACGACAAGATCTATAGTCAGTGCAAGAATTCATGTTAAGAGAGCCATAGGAAGACTGAAAGACTTCCATATTCTGCAAGGAGATCTGCCTATACCATTTGTATTTCTTGCTAATAAAATATTAGTGGTTTGCGCTACTTTGTGCGAGTAATCTCTTACCTCCGCTTACTAAGTAGGACTCTCCAGTGTGCTTCTAATTAATCATAAAAACAACTAAAACTAACTTCATCGAAACAATACTATACGGTGATATTTTCACATCTTTACGGCGCAAATAAGTTCAGAGTCCGGCTTAACAGTTTAAGGAATTGTTCAGTCTGATTTGTTACTTCTGTGCACTAAATTAACCCTCTTCTGCATCGAATTACCTGAAAACTACATTTATCTTAACCAATCAGAACTGAGTAGTTTTTTTTTCATGTTTATCAATTACCAGAGTAAATGCTTCTTACAATATTTTTAAGCACGATAAAACCCCAGTATAAGTCTTTTCCATCTTCGGTATTAGATATTTCAGTTGGTTTCACTTTGAACTGAAATTAGCAGTATTCAGTCTGTTTACCTGTCCCGTCATCAATTAACTCGTGTTACTTCAGTTCCTCCACATTCCTGTCAGTAAATAACTGAAAACCCTCAAGACTATTACACGACCGTAAACAGTCTTCATCGTAGCCATCTTTTCCAACCAGATAATGGTAAATGATAATGGTATCGGGAACCTGAAGTCTGGAATACTGGTGTAGTCATGAGTCCAAAACTTAAGAAAAAGTGGATGGGGAAGTAATTTTCCTCCTGGCAACGTTATCTTGGAATAAGTCAACTCGTCGCGTTGCACTGTGTCCTTTTCAAGTTTTGGAACTTTTATTTCAGCTGCGTTCTTGCAAAGCTCTAGTAGTTCTGCCTTTTTCCTACTCTTACCGGCTACAGAAATTTGAATATCCCTTTCCTTTAGAAATTTCCGTAGCTCTGGAACTATTATATTTGAAAAGAAGGCATCATTCGCTGCCGTGTTGAGGCGACGCCTATTTCATTCAGCCTCGACTTGATGCTAAAAACTAGTTACCAGACTTTCTCGTAGGAACGATTCGAAACTAACCACTACAAAGAGTTAAAAGGTTGATGTTTCGAGCATTAGCCTTTCGTCAGAGCGATTGGAGGAATTGCGTGTGGGTTTATATGCAGAAAGCGGAGCTACGCTGTTGGTGGGAACATAGTGACGAGAAAACAAGAGTGGGTCAGTTGAATGAAAAGCGTTAGTTGATACAGTGGGTATTAAGAGTGCCGATTTGGAAGATAATTTTTGTTCTATAGTTTTGCGGCTTTCCGAACTGCCTAGATGTAAGGAAAGGCCGCAAAATGCCATATGCTGCTTAGAATGATTGGGGAGATAAAAGTTTCTAGCGACTCGGTTTGGATGCGTCCTTGTCATTTCTTTCTCAAACTCATTAATAATTCATGAGATCAACTACCAACCACAAGATGTATACCGCATCACGTACATGTGTTTGGATACCCAATGAAAAACAGTATACCACTCTCCAGTGAGAGTAGTATATACCACTAAAATGTGCACAGTGAAAACTTGCTCAAAATCGATGAATATTTATTACTCACAAGTAACCTTATTTTTTCAATGCTTCATTTTTTTATTTAAGCTCATTTACAAAAACATTTACCTCACAATCATTAAACTTGACATATTGGAAAAGGTAAAAATTCTTTTCTACACGTTTTTCTTTAGCCTTGTCATTTCGTTCTTAATTTCTTCTTTAACTTACTTTCGGTCGGACATCATTGGCCAAAAGGGGGCTGTCCTGGTGTACCGGTACACGGGGGAATTCCTATCGTTTTCATATCCATACATGGAGTTGTGACGCAGTTCGTTAACGTTTCGTTCCTTTGTGTACCGGTACACGAGGACACAACCGGCCAAAGGTTTCAATGCAGCACTTACATTTACATCAGAAAGATGGCGCTTCAGTCCGCAAATAATTGAGTACAACGAACGGGAAGGATAGCGTTCCCCAGAAGAGTTGCTTACTTCTTGAACGAACTTCGACAGCCAGTAGTTCACACTGCATACAGACATATCTGTAATAGCCGTGTCCAAAGTTTGAACTCCTTCTTCAAAGTCTTTCGTGGTAAAAAGGCCGCCGGGTTCCAAAGTACAGGATTTCACCAATCGATTCTGTTCCCATTCCTCGAAAACCATACACGACTACATTATCAACACTTTTCTTCTCATCCTCTACACTTTTCGGCTGCCGAAATCTCTCGAACGACTTTGTTGCGGTATACATCTTGACTGAACGACAACTTGTAAATGCTGGCAACTCCAGCAACTTTCACATCTCAGAATAAATTAAATCGCACCATAAATACAAATTAATTACACCGGGGAAAAACATCGTTGATATTGAAATTATCGAGGGAGAAATGTTAGACAGCAAACAATTTTAATTGGAAGTCCTTGTTTATTATTTCTTTAAGAGTGATCATGAGAAGTTATTTCCAAAACTCGTGCTTCGTGTTTCATTGGGGTATCCAAACACCTCGAAACAATAAAAGCACTCGGCCTACAGCCTCATGCTTTCATTCGTTTCTCGGTGTTTGGATACCCCGATGAAACAATCGTTTCACCAATGTAGAACTTTTTGCAATAAGTACAAGTTATGTAGTAAATGACATTGGCAGAGGTGCACGTAAAGTGATCAGTGATCTTAATGGATTTCTTGGGTCCCGACATTTTCTCTACGTTATGAATGAAAGGACACGTTTTGCATTATGAGCGAGCGCATTTGAAAGTTCTAAGTTGGTCACTGGTTTGAAATAAACTTCTGACCAAAGAGTTTCCTGTTTTTGTCACGTTTGAATGAAATTAGTGGAGCTTGCGAAAAGATAGTGCCAGTCTCTGAATCGTTTTGGAGTAATTTAAATGTGAGAATGAATAGAATGCGATCAGCGTTTTCCTTCTCAGCCGTTTGTTGGGCTGACTGTCGATCAATTTGTTGGGCACGGTGGTGGCCCACTTGAACAACGGAAACAGGATAGGTAGGCCACGTTTTTCGAAATACCAGCACATTGCCTTTGGTTTTTCGGAAAAACCAGAGTCGTTATTACATAAACGACGAAGTCTGAGAAACTGTGAAAAAGGTATGGAATTCTTGAAATGCTACGGATGCGAAGATGAATACAGCGCGTAATAATTGTGACTCTGTAGGTTTGTAATAAACACTAGTGCATAGACCGTTGCCTTCAATTGAAATTTTGATGTCTGGCAAAGCCAAAGTGTCGGAAATTTCTTAGGTATAATTAAGAGCCGGGTGAAAGGAATTGACGGCGGTTTGAAATTGAATGAGCTCCTCTCTGGAAGAGGATGTAGCGCCGATGCAGTCGTCAATGTAGCGACCGTAGAGTTCAGGTTTGGGACTGTGGTAGTGACTAAAAAAAAATTGGTGTTTAATAAAACCTACGAAAAGATTAGCGTAGCTGGGTCCCATTTAAGTACCCATGGCTACAACATTAGTTTGTTTGTAGTAGTTGCCACCGAATGAAGAGCAATTGAGTGAAAGTACTAGTTCGGGTAGATGGTGTTTCAGAGCTAGGTTCCTTAACAATGCGTTAATCGAAAAAATGTTTGAGGGCCCGAGGGCCATCGTTATTGGGAATGACGAAGGTCCGCAAATTCGCAAGTCATTCAAACTGAAGAATGTAATTATCCGCAGTTAAAACCGCTATCCCACAATTTCTGGGATAAAAATCCCATTCTCTTACAGGTCATTATTTAGCGACCATACCGCTGACAAAGAGCCAAAATGAGCTTGTGCTCAAGATTAGCGAATTGCAAAGTTTGCCCCATGACGATCTCAGAAATCTTTGTAAGAGGTGCCGCAAATCGATAACAAGTTGCTAACAGATTATTGGGATGGAGCGGATTAGAGTCGCCTCGAGGACATGTTCGCTCACTTTAGGAAAAAAACTCCTTGAATCAGTAGCTTTTCATGACATTTTTGTAAAGAACATTCATTATAGGCCATAAGTTCACATTAACGTATTTCCAGTATTTCTATAATCTCTTACGATTTGCTTTAAACGAATACCACTCCCTCCTTAAATTATTTTATAAACTAGTTATAGTTCTCACTAGAGCTGCCCCCGCCCTACAGTACCATTTTCTTTTTTTTTTTTTTGAGTTTGGCTTGTTGTTTACAGTTGTGTAGTTATGACCATTTGCGGGAAAAACGTTGATACCTTGCGGCCGTGCAAGCGATCAAATCGAGATTTTTTTTGGTTACGATCAACCGAAAACACCTACATTCTCTCTTCTCCAGTCTTCCTCTATACTAGGACAAATCTCGTGTCAAAGACGCCGATCCTAAAAGTCCTCGCGCGCGTCTTTTTACTGGCAGCCCATGACCATTTGCGGGAAAAACGTTGATACCTTGCGGCCGTGCAAGCGATCAAATCGAGATTTTTTCTGGTTATGATCTACCGAAAATACCCACATTCCCTCTTCTCCAGTCTTCCTCTATATTACGCGGGGAGTCCTAAGGTGCCTCCTCGGGTTTTTGGCCCTCTGGGGCCAAAAAACCCTGCGGGGGCAATTATGAAGTGACACCGGTGCAGTTTCTCTACATAATCAGAATTTCAGCTCGATACAATGGACACAAGTCAGCTCAGCTTAAAAAACCAATATATTTGAATGGTCTATATACGTCGTCATTAGCCTCTATGCTGGAGTGTGCTATGGTTTGTTGATGTATCATGGTGAGAGTACCGTAAGTAGAGTTCTTTTTACCTTTCTTTCAAGTAAGAAAGTTAAGCCTTTACAACTGAATGATTTTGCAGTATCCTAAAATTACCCCTTCTTCTCTGATCTCATCACAATTTACGAGCTTCCAATTTACACATATTGTCAGTCCTGTTATCATAACGAATCTCTAATTTCTACCTCAAAAATAGTCAAACTTTTCGAAGGAACATTAACCTTTCTTACCAGTAATTTTTGCTTTTTAGCAAATTTAAATCATTTCGGTACGGAATAACTAAACTATAGCTTCTAGACTAGATAATTTTCAACTTTTACCTACAATTCCGTCGGAAAACTTAAAACACGAAACGACACAACGTCACTACTGCCATGTTCTGTGCTACCTCAGATATTTCCAATTTTATCACTCGTTATATTTGATAGCTCGCGGACGCAACTGTCTGGCAATAATGGTTCTTGTGAAATCTTGCTCTGTTTTCACCTCACGACATCCCTAAAAGTATTGGAAGATCAAAATACATTCAGACACATGAACAATCAATAAGTCCATCAAGACATATTTCTGCGTCTACTCAGTCTCCCGTAGTGGCAAATAAAATCTAGGCACAGTCTTCACAAGCTTTTCACACGTATTTCACGTGAAAACGCCATGTAAATGCGAAATTCGCTAAACACGAAAAGAAGAGAAAGGCAGTTTAAAGCATATAATAAACATTTGACCTGCTTTTTAACTAGTTCTTGGGACCTAAATAGGAAAAGCTCGGAATCCCGCATGCACATTAGATCGACGGAAATTTGTGGCTGAAAGCGAATATGAAACCCCAAATTTTCCATTCAGGCCTCGTATAGAGCGCCTGAGCGTTTTCAGACTAAAGAAAATGTACCTAAAGAAGTGTATAGAACACTGTACCTGTTTTGTCGGAGACAAGAGAGCTGTCATTGCAGAAGGTTTCTTGAACAGTTTCTTTCCCTTTTTCGCGGAGGATTGAGTCAATTTTGGTGGAACATTTTCTGCTTCTTCATTCGATTGCGATGAGTACTTGTCACTGTCTTTCACTGGAAAAGACAAATAAAGTTCAGAGCTCTACAATTAAGAGGCACGCCTTGTCAACGGGTACGACTTCAGGACATGTTCATGGTTCGATATTGCGTCATTACTCAACAAAACTTCACACCTGCAGTATTTTCTTGCAATTCTTTGAAGAGTTTTTTCTTTTTTGGTTCTACTTTGGGTGGTTCTGTCTCGTCCTGCAAAGAGTTTCAAATTTAGCATGAAATGGGCGCTCGTGCAAAGCAACTCAGAATTCACAACTTCAATACCCATTGATAATTTCTTTATTTATTAAACTGGCGCGTGCTAATCAGGTGACAGAAAGAGATAACCTTACCACTGACGACTTTTTAACTGGTAAGGTCGTCGACTTTGTTGCGGGTGTCGTCTGTTTGTTTCTCACAGATTGCCTTGTTCCCGGGCGGCTTCGCCTACGAAGAAATAAGATAACTGATTAACTTACGAATGAATTTCTAAAACCGTTGTAGGGGAGGAGAATTGTTAATCTGCATAAATTGATTTAAGGCGGTAGCCAGCAATAAATCAGACCAAGCGACTACTTGAGGTTTTTTCAAGTTAGTACAATGGCGATTGAATTGTTTCTGTCTAAAAGTGATTTTTTTAATCCCAAGCCATGAAAGCCAGTCAGTTTGTATGAGTGTGCTTACGTTTTCCTTGAAGAGCCCGGAGTAAAGTCCTCGTCATTGTCGTCTGTTTTTTGTACCTTCGTCCATTTGGTTTTGAGCTGAAACAGAGCAAGGAACGGAGAGGGTTACATATAAACAGAAAGCACAGAAAGCACCCTTAAGAAGAAAGAGCTGTCAATTTATGTTTTTGTCTCCAAACGTTACTGTGCTGTTCCACTTTTGTCCTCTGACAAGATAAATATTTACGTAAAAAATAACCAAAAGAAAAAGCATTGTACACGCAATTCAAGTCATCAAGGACTTGAATAGTTATATAAAATTTCAGGTAAAATCCACACTTCTTCCTGCCATGAGAGACGCACTGAATAAAAAAAATCATTTGATTTTATTCTATTTGAACTATTCCATGAAATTCTTAGTTGATATTTATGTCAAATGTCGGAGTCAGGAAATTGTCATCAGCTTCATGCCAACATTAAACTAAGAGTGAACTGGCTCCTAAGGATTTACCTGAGACAATGGGATGTCACTGCTGTTCCTCTTCAAGGGTTTCTTCGCTGATCTTGAACAAGACGTTGTCAAATCCACTTTGTCAGCTACATCAAGGTCCTAATAAAACAAACAAACCAACAATTTAACAAACAGACGGTGATAAGGTCTTGCTAGGAGCTCCTCAGGTCGAAATTGCGAAACGGCTTTTAAATTAAGAATAATATCGAAGTTAAGTAATGTCCCTCTTCTTCAGAAAAGTTTAAAGCAGGATAAGTAACAGATGAGCGATAAACAAAAATGAGAACACTTCATTTAATTTCGAACACCTGCAGCTCTACTAACACTGATCTGTGTCATCAGGGGTATAAAATGAAACCCATAAGCGTTATTCTCACCGAAGTAGAGGAATCTGTTTTTGAAGATTCACTTCTTTCGGCAGCGAGTTCTCTTTCTACGCTTTCTTTTTCATGTTTAATCTCCTCTATACTCCTATCCTTGTCGTCAAGCTGCCTCTGGTAATCCCGTTTCGTTTTCCGCAGTTCCTCTTCCATCTCTCTTCTCAAATCCTGTCTACACTGCTCGCGGATTGTGAATAGTTTGATCTCATACTCTGCCTTTTTGGCGTTAGCCACCTCTAATGTTTGACGCATGGTTTTCATGATGTTGTCTCTTGAATCGTTCATTTTGCTTATTTCCTCGTCTTTCTTTACCAGCTTTTCCTCAAGAGTTGCACGTTCTTTCTGCAACATGGCTATTTCCTTCTCCATGTTCTGCATCCGCTCGAATATGTTTCGCTCATTAGCCTCGCTCTTATTGGACATATCTTTCATAGCATCGCTAGCAGCCGTCGCTTTCTTCTTCAAGCTGGTTATTTCCCCCTTCTTTATGTCCAGTTCCTTAGTTGCTAACTCACACTTTTCTTGCCAAGTTTGCAGTTCTATGGAGAGAGTTTCCAATTCATCCTGTCTTTCTTCAAGTGCCTGTCCTTGTTCAGCTAATAATACATCTTGTTCCTCTAAAACTTTTTTCAGGTTGGCAATCACGTCTTTGTCCTTTCCCGCATCTACGGAAAACAAGAGCATGATTCCGCAACACGTTTGAGAATTGCTATATGTTGAACACATGATGTCTCTCTCTTTCTTTTTTTCCCTTTGCATCAAAACTTGTCCCCATAAACCTATAAACATTTGACAAGACCACTAGCCACAGCTAAAACCCGAAAAACCCTTTTCAGTTCAACTGCAATATTATGGCATGCATATTTAGCAGACGTCTTAATTTGACTTGCTATTATCTTAACTCTTGCTGACCAAACAGGCATTACAATCTGTGTGGTCGCTTAAGGAATTCTTTACTGTATGCAAACAGTACAACTCGACATAATTTTTGCGACAGGCATACCCTAGCCATTACAAACCATACCCAGCGATCAATCACTCAGAATCCTTTCATACAAACGATATCATCGAGACAACGAAACTGTTTCAGCGGCTACCTGACGAGAATAGACGCAGATTTCCTTCCATGGAACTCTTTTCGTCATTCAGTGTTTTCACTTTGTCTGTAAGTGTCCTGATCTGTTCTCGGGATTTTTCATTTTCAATTGATGCTTTCCTAATATTTTGTTCCAGTTCGTCGATCGATTTGTTCCTGTCTTCGATGGTCTTTTGCATGGACATCATCTCCTTCCACACCTATAGATCAACAAGGAAAGACACGAGGAAAAAATTAAAAGCAGAGTATATTTGATATCACAAAGCCGACAAAGTCAACAATACTGAAGTCTCTCTATGGCCAAAGGAAAATCTGAGCAGTATCTCAGCCACACGAACGGAGTAGTAAAAGCTGAAAGCCAGCCAGTCTTTAGTACAAAATTGAAAATGTGCTGGGACTTTGCCAAGTTGACAAGTGAGAGCAAGCACTTGCTATCCGGCAAGGGAACCTGGAGTGAGCCAAACTAGCGGTTTTTCGACGGTCAGAATCTGTGTGTGAAGAGCCCTACCTTGTCCAATTCTTGGAACTTTTGTTGATCAATCGTCTTTATTTTTTCCCTCAGCTCTTCGATTTCTTTCACTTTCTCTTCAATTTCCTCGTTTCTTTTTTTCAGTCTCGCGTTCGCCTCATTCGTCTCCTGTTCCAGCTTTACTTTGGCTTCCTGAAACGAAAAAAAATTTATAACAGGTATTTACTTTAAATACTGAAGAAACAATTCTGACGATTAGAAAAGTTGTCGTTGAAAGTCTAATGAAACCAAATCATTTAACTTTAAATTGTCTTAAAATGAATAAAAAGTGCGGTCGTCATTTGATATCCCGGGAACAGGCCCCACGTCATTGGTACTTCGGCCCAGGGTTGTAGATAAGAGCCGGCAGCCGGCCAAGAACGCCGGCTTCCCTGCAAGGTTTCGCCAGCTACTTTCATTGCTTCCAGAGCCCGTACAGAGATGATCAGCCTATCTTTTCTGAAAACATAAATAGACTTCTGACTCAAGGTTAGTTTAAAAACTGTCTGATGGGGACTTTTTTTTTGGACAAATCTGGCTGCGGTGGCAGGAAAGTACGAACGATATGACGTTTTGTCCGCCATATTGGATTTGCATGCCCCCGACCCCCCTAGAAACAATGGGCTAAAGCCCATCGTATGGGTCCTTCGGACCCACAACCGGTTACCTTTACAAAAGCTCTGGCTACTTAAAACCTCAAAGAAAACTCTGGCTTCGGCACGAACGTTTTTTTTTGTCCATGAGAAAGTATGAGGCCTTAAACAACGCGAGCACTGATATTATTAGTGCCAGACCCCCGAAAAACCTCTTCCGACTCGTCTCAAATCTTCTTGTTGGTACAAAACGCGCATCCTGAAGCGCTAATAATGAATGCCTTCTAGCAAGCTAGTCGTTTGGTATAGTAGAAATACTTCACCTGACGTAAAATAACTTCAAGGTCGCAATTGAAAGATATTTAAGTCGTGGAAACAGTTTTATGCCACTGTGGTATATTATAGCTAATTCCATGGTTAGCTGTAAAAGCTCAAAGTATGTGATATAGCCACATTAATAGTCAACAATACACTAATCACTATTCATACCTTAATCCTCTCATCACTGCGTGTCATTCCTTCCTCGAGGAATCTCACTTTATGTTCAAGATCTGGTACAACTTGGTTTTTATATCTTTGAATTTCAGTTTGCAGTCGTGAAGTTGTCTCGTTCGCAGCAGAAAGTTCATCTTTTAGTTCATGAACTTTTCCATCCATAGAAGCTAGACGCTTTTTCTTTTCATCTAACTCATTCGCTGACGCACTTCGTGCATTACACATTTCTTTACTCGCCTCTTCAACAGCTTTCTCTTTTTCCAACACGTTTCTCTTCTCATTTTCCAGCTGCGTTTGTAAACAAGCATTCTTTAGCTGCTGAGAATTCAACTTTTCTTCCAAAGACTGAATGCGTTCGTCTTTCTTCTTCGTTTCTTCTTTTTCTACATCGATTTCCGCCCTTACTTCTTGTAGTTCCTCGAGAAATTTGGCGGATTTCTCATCGTACTCTCTCTTTAACCTCTCAAGTTCCAGCCTAGTTTCTTCAAGTGTCACGTTCTTTTTAGCCATCATATCCTTACTTTCCTCTCTCTCTTTATCAGCTTGGACAAGTCGTCTTCTTAACGTTTTCAATTCTTCCTTAGTTTTCAGATTATTTTCCTTGGGTAGCTTTTCCATTTCGGACAGATGCTTCTCTTTCTCTGCTAGGGACATTTCGAGGCGTTTCATGGTGTTATTTCTGGCAATAACCTGACTGTTTTTCTTGTCCAGCGCTTTTGTGGATTCTTCCAACTGTTTTTCCAATTCTTTCAAACTATCTTCACTATGAAGTTTCTTCATTTCTTTTTTACACTCTACCAACTCCGATTCCAGTTCATTTATCCTTCTCCTGCTCTCACTCTTGACGCTCTTCAATTCTGCATCTTTTTCCTCGATTTCCTTTTCCATCCTTTTAGTTCTAACTTCTTGCTTTTCAACGTCTTGGGCACTTTCTTTGCTCAAGTCTTCAGGACCTTCTGCCTGGTAAACGTCGCATTCTTTCTTGGACAAAACTGCGATCTCTTCTTCAAGAGCTTTCTTGGCATTCTTCAATTCCGCTGTCGTCTTTAAATTCGCCTCCTGAATGTTCTTCAGTTGTGTCTCCTTTTCTGTAACTCGTTTCTTCATGTCGTCCAGTGCAGCCATTTTATCACAAATATCTTTCTTAGCGTCATCCAATTCTGTCACTTTTTCGCCAAACTCCTTCTTCATCAACTCAAGTTGAGATTCTTTTTCTTTGCACTCGCCTTTCAACGTTTCTAGTTCAGCTTTGGCATGGTACATCTCTCCTTTAGCTGCTTCAAGTTGCTTTGCCAAAACAGCCATCTCGGTGGCCATAATGTTGTCTGTCTCCTCGGCCTCGGTATTTCTTTTTACTTGTGAATCCTCAATAACCTGATTTAAAGACGATATCTCCTTCTCCAGCTCCTTACAGCGTTCTTCTGCTTTCTGCAGCTCGTCTTTAATTCTTATTAGTTCTTCGTCGTTGTCGAATGCTTGAGCGACATAACTTTTCTCACGGGCTAATTCTTCTCTTGTCTCCTCCAATGTCCTCACTAATTCTTTCATCATTGTGTTATTTGTCTCTAACTGATGCTCTGTGTTTGAAAGTTTGGCCAAGGCAGCGTCCAGGGCACCTTGTGTCCGCAAAAGCTCAGCGGAATTTTCCGTCTTCTTAGGCGCTTCCTTCTCCTTCTGTAGCTCATTTGTGAGATGTTGTAAGGTTGCGTCCTGTATTTGGTATAAACAAAATGCAGGGGAGTCAGTCTGGTTAACTCAAGTGATTCAAGACATACACGCAGCGCGCCAGAGAAAACGGAAAGTGTGAGATATGTGAGCTTGGATATACTTTATGGACTTCAATGTCAACATAATGAACTTAACGTGTTTTTCAGTCATTTTGGATACCATACGCGTGGTCAATTTTTGGGAAAACTAGGATCAAACTACACCTTCGAAATAAATGAATAAACGAAACTAGAAAGGCATGGACGGTGACTGGATACCAAGGAGAATCACCGAACTACTACACATCCATATGCCTTCCATCTTTCACCGTAATTTGTTTAAGAGGTAGGCTATCAAGGAACGTTGAGCTTAGAGGTCGTCAACTTAATTGTTAGCAAATTTCAGAAAAGGAATAGTGTCTGTTCTTGTCAGTCATTGTCACGAACGTTTGCTTTCAAACACTCCAAGTTCCACAACAAAGTTAATCAAATTTTCTTGCAAAGTGGGCCTGATAAGTCAGATTGTCAAATCAAATTCAATCATCATTTCTTTGACTACAGTAACCTAGTCATGGTGAAAACGCTCGGTTTCTGTATCATGTCACAATTCAGAATATTTTTTGATGCTTTCACTTCACTTAACTTCGTTTTAGCGCCACTCTTTTAATATTTCCACATAACTCCTAGTTTACATCTGGTGAGTTAAAACGGGGTAAACCCTACTCCTAAGTTTAGAAAAAATCTACCCTCCCTACCCCTGGAAAATTTCTTCTCCAGGTGTTTCTCCGCTTTTTAGAGACAACTTGGTCCCAGGGCGCACAAAAGTAGACCGCCGCCGCCGCATGAGGAACGACACGAACACCACTAAATATACGTAATCACTCGTTTATTGATTACAGGTTCAGGAGCACCAAATAAACGATGACTTCATGAAACAACTACTATGAGGCATTATTTTGTGCAGCCAATACCGAGGGGTGGAGACTCTGTAGCCAGGTGATTGCAAATTGTATTTTGTCTTGTAAGCTATTAAATGTTTCGTCAGCTTTTATCTGCTTCAAACTTGGAACACATCCATATATTCAGCGCCTTACACCCCATACAAATTCAAATTCTGGTCGTCAAGAGTTATTTTTCAGTCACATTGACGACCAGTTGGTCGCAGTTTCAGACCTTGAATTTGACTTTTTGTTTTCGTTTGAAGAATGATGGATATGATTGCGAGTTTTCGTCTGGTACTTTACAGTGTACAGGGTAGTGAGGTGTAATTTGAAAAACGTCAAGTGGTGTACTTTTGTGTAAGAAATTGCGTACAAAGTTACGTACAGAATGTTAAACAGAACAGTTCGTGTAATTGGTAATGTCGAGTTCTATCGCCTCGAACGCACCTGTTTTTTAATGCAAGCTTCCTGTTCATCAAGCGCTGCTTTCAGTTTACTGATCTCTGCTTCCTTCTCAGAGAATGCTTCGCCAGCCTCTTCAAGCATCTGTTTAAGTTCTGCAGCTTCCTCGTTGGCGTGATTCAAGTGAGCCTGCAATTCCAAAACTGCCTGTGAGGTCGCTGCTTCTTCTTGTTTGTTTTCTTTTAGTTGTTTGATTTCCTGGCGCAACTCAGCAATCTGTGCGTTCAGTCCACCAATGAGTTGCTGCTGCTCCTGAAAAACGAAGCACAGATTTCTTGATTACAAACCAAAATTGTGAAAAGAAATTACGACTTAAATCAATTACAAATATTTTGCCTTGAGAATGCTGTCCCAGTGGTGTGAGACGAAAGAGAAGTTCGAAGACCATGCAAACTTTGTTGTATGTCTCTCTCCATCCGTGAGTATAAATGGGATCTGAGGAAATGGCTAGGAAATCTGAGGAAATAGTGCGGGTTAGCGGTGATGAAAAAAAAAAAACTTCCTATCTGGACGGAGTAGCAAAGCTTGTTGCGTTATGCGACAAGATCTGAGACAGCTCAGCTTTACTGTCTAAAAGCATGATCATTCTGTCACTTAAGTATTCCGTTATTCCATCAACTTACTCACCCGAACTTTAGTCTGCTCTGTATGTAAAAACACACTTGGCACCCATTCCTCGTCTTCCTCTTCTATTCGTTCGACCCGAGCTCTTTTTCTAGATATTTTGACGGACTGCGTCAGCAATTCGATCCTGCGATCACACTTCTCCTCAACAGCGGTTACTTCCATTTTAACACGTTGACTGAAATTTGAGAGCGAATTGCGCGGTTTCTACATTGCTCAGCAATTATCACACCTCAATATTGACTGAAAGTTAACACACAGCTTAGATGAAACTCAGAAGCATTTCACTTCTACATTTTTAAGAACGTTATGTCTCACAAATGTGTGTGATTTTAAGGTTTGGATGATAATAGAGCAACAAACTAGGGGGACTGATATTACTACTGTTCTTTGCTTATTACCTGTAGGCTTTCTCGATGGAAACAAGCTGTTCAGCCATTTCCTTGCACACTTCCTCTCGTATCTTTACTTCCAGTGTCTGCATCTTACGCTTCTCTTCGATCAGTTGTTCTTGGAGAACTTTAACCAAGTCCACAAGTTGCTAAATGTGACAAAATCGATAGAAAAGTAAGATATGACAGCATAACAGACTAAAGCCCTAGCTGATGTTAATTAACACCATCCCATTCCACTGACTTGGTTTTTACTTTTATGATTTTGTGCATTTAGGCTGCTTGACATCAACACTTGGAGTAACTACATTATCAAGCGATGCACGACGCGCGTTTCTTTAACTGCGGATAGATTGGAGACGAGTCAGGAAGAGGATTGCCTGGGGTCTGGTACCTACAACATTTCCAAGTGTAGTGTCTTGTTATTCGGGTGAGTGTAGTCCTGTGAAGGACTGTTGTCGGTAGTGGTGATTGATGTTTCGTCAACCTGAGTGGAAAACATCTTCAGAGTCAAGTGAATATTTGTTGTCACTCGAATGTTCTGAGGCCGGTTCGTACAAACTGATTGGTCAGTTTTGCCGTGATGTAATTGGCTGTAAGACCCAGGTAGTGCAAATCGGTTGTCATTGGTCAGTTTCAGTCCATCGGTAAAATTATGTCGTTCTGTTCGGTTCGTTTGTCATGTCAATGTCGTAAATGAGTCGTCTGAGTGGTGCGGGTAGTAGTTAACACCTCCTGAGGTTAGTCTGATCTAAGTTAGTAAACCTTTATAATAAGCAAACTTATAAACTTATAATTGATTAACTCATAATACTGTCAGTGCCAGACTCTTTACAGACCCTCATCAGTTCGCGTCGCTCACAACCTCGTATTCTCCCGCGGGCAGAGAAACACTCTCGCCAAAGGAATAGTAATAAGGGCCTGCTTGCAAGCTTTGAGTAACAAACCTGTTGATAAGGGTTGGGTTCCATAATGACACTTTCCTCCTCTATCTCTTCATCAACCTCTGCTAGAGTATCATCACAAGGGGCTGGTGTGTGAAGTGCTCCTTTGATCCATGGCACAGAGGGCCTTGCTGGTTTGGAGCGTGGTGTGGCAGCCAAGGCACGGGCCTTCTTTGCTGGAGGAGGTAAATCCACTGGTTTGGACACTCTGGTAGTCACCTGACAATAAACAAGAAAGAAAGGGAGAACTAGACATCAAACTGTACACTGAAATATTTGGCTTCTAATTGCTAACTTTCTTCATTAAATTCTCCAAAGCCTCTTTTTTTGTATTAATGATACATGTCTGGTAAAATCCAGTATATAAAGATGGAAAATTTTCAAATATTTTCTAACCTTTTTGGCGATAGCTGAAAACTTCATCACATGGAATGTTTCATCAAACATAGAAGCACACATGTTAACATTGACAATCATGGAAGCCCTTCCTTTTCCACAGAAAAATCCCTGAAACAGTCTAGTGAGTTTACTTTCACGGAATGGGATAATAAGGGGTTGATTCCTACAAAAATAAATGAAAAGTTTGTCTATGGTAAAAGATATAACATTTGTTTCAACAAAACAAAAACATAAAGTACAGCAGTATGATTGAGGCTAATTCGAAAGCTAAAAACTATTATCAACATGGATTTGCAGTTTACTGGATAAATCCTACTTACGGGTTTTTCTGATTGTAACGTAAATATTCCAGGCATTTGCCTAACGTCATCAAGGAAGTGTTGATGTTACCAGCTTCTTTGAGTCTGTCTCCCTTGCTCTGGGTTTTTGAGTAGCGCTCAGATCCTGCTAAATCTACAAATGAAAGTCTGCAGAAAAAAAATTATGTTAACTGTAGCTGTTGTATAAGTATTTTAAGTAAAACTGCACATGGAGCCATGTGCCTCTATAACTATATAGGTTCTGGAGGCTACTTTACGGCAAGTTGATGATGTGTTATGGTTTTCAATTAAAGAATTTTGAACTGTGATTTCCAAAATAATAATATCAAGAAAAATTGCACAACATGGTCACTTACCTGCTAACTCTTGCTACATGAGGATCATCAACATCAACTACTCGCAGAACCTTGATACTGAAGATACAGTGACTGAAGAATGAAAGAATTGCTTTGTTAGTTACATAAAACTATGATAAAGTCTACTTCTGTGTGTCAACATCATCATCAATACCACTACAACCACCACCACCATCATTGTCATCATCATCATCTCACCATGCTAGTTGGCAACAAAATAATGTGTTGTAGAGTAAATGAAAAAGAGACCATTTTTAAAGAGCCTAATGTAACCAACCATGATAATTTGTTGTATTTACCTGCGACTGGAACACTGGTTTAACTTTGTGGAAGCTATTCTTTGATTTTTCTGGCCAATCTTAAGAATCTATACATGAAAAAAGAAATAAGATTTTTTAGTATCACTGCGTCACTCCTCTGAGAAATTGAAACAAACACAGTTATAATTACACTGATGTTATTTAAGTGCAGGTAACCAAGAGGGGAAAAATATTGAGGATGGAAGCATATCTTACCTTGTAGGCTTCATCAGCATTGGAGACATAAATTTCTCTCAATCCTTCATTAATAAATGCAAACAGGCATCATTAATAATTTGCCTAAAGTTTCCACTTTACTAGATCATCATCATTGTAGCATAACTTCTTAACCATATTTGAAATTACAATTTACAAAATGAGCAAATATATAATACAGAAAGCACAGATGTACAGAAAGCACAGATCTATGTTAAGACTCAAGTAGCTTGTACCACAAAATCTGGATGTCTCAAATGTAATAAATAGACCACACTGCTTGCAAGGGAAAGAACTGTGGAAAACACTGGGAAGCATACAGTACTGTTCATGCTCAAGGGAACATAACATTTACCTTTTTTTTACCATCTAAATTTGTAAAAATAATAAAGTTAACTCATTTATTGATCATTTCTCAGTAATTAATAAAATAACAAAGCAATGTTCAAAGGTTCCATTTTAGTCTTTATTCAGCACATACCTTTGATATAGGGGTTCCCGTTTGCATCATCACCAAGTCTGAGTGTTGTTCTTTTTTTACCTTTCCCTGTTGGACATGGCTCCAACAAATCAAAGATTGTTTCATTGTAGATTTCAGCATAAGAAACCCAGACAGAGAATTTGACTGGTCCTTGTGCATCTACATTGATTGTGGTGTCATCTGCCACCCGAGAAATATTCTCGTCATTGTCAATGGAGGACTCTGAAATGACACGACAGGATCAATTAAATCTAGAGAAAATACTAGTGTTTAACTACTTCACTTGGCAAGAATCTCTTTAGAAAATTCTTGAATAAAGGAGGATTTTAGATGAATTTTCATTAAAAAAAAAATGAAACCATGCTTAAGTGGGAGCTACAACTGAAGTAACCTTGCATCTAGTTTGGATAAAATGTTAAATACCTTCATGTCCTCCATCCTGACTCTTGATTGTGTTATGCAGAACTGAGTCATCAATACAACTGACTTTTGACAAGTCAGCAGTAGAGTCTTGGTCCAGTTTGAGAAATGCATTTATGTCAAAAGTCTGAAAGAATAATGCAAAATACATAGATGACTGCTTTTCCTGATGAATATCTTGCAATACCATAAATGCATCTATGAGTTTCCCATCTCAAGAAGCCTCCCTTTCTCAAAACAGACTCTTTTCTTTTTCACTATTGGCTGCAATATTGTGTCATGCAAGTGACCATGCAAATCATTTACAATGTTAAATAAAGTCTTGGAAGACGGAAGTAAGAGGCCTTATCAGCAGCAGTAAATGCTGGTGATCATGTTCCATTGCTACTTTTTATCCCTAAACAAAAAACATTAGAACACAACTCCAGGCAGTAAGATTATTGAATAATTGATTTATTGAATACTACACCACACAACTTAAGAACATGATAAGAACGTTTTCAGGCTCAAATCGAAAAAATCGCAAATCGTAAAACATTTGATGTTCCTTGAAAAAAAGAGTGTATAAAGTATTCATTTAAGATGTTTGAGAGCTCGGTTCAAAAAAATATCACCCACCATTAATTGCTGTAACTCACCTCTTTGTTGAGAGACGAGAGTAACGCACACTTGAAATTACTTTCCTTCTGTTCCTCGTCATATGTAAGCCTCACAACATCTGTGCAGAATCTTGGTTTGAGGTCCATTCTCTCGTAACTCTTTCCCTCTATACTGTTAAAGAGTACATCAAGACTTCGAGGTAGAATCCCACCATCTTTGGGGGTTCCTTGAATTGTGTAAGTCTAAAAGAGACACCGAAAACAAAGATGTTTTGAAGTATACGACCCAACTCAACTAGAATAAATCATATCAACATGTAACTGACATCAAAACGACACCCAACCAAATTAATAAGTGTTATATCCTTTTACAGCTTATTACCATGAATCCAATTTGTATTCGAAAGAAAGCAAAGAGGTTACAGCTCACTGATCGCGTAGTTACAAATGTTCAAATAAAACAGAAAGCTCGCTTACCTTTCCCGAGTTAGTCACCCCGTAGGTAAAAACCAAACAATTTTGTCCCTTAATGAAGTCCGTTACCAAAGGAAGAGTTGTCTCATCGAAGAAAACTTTCTGTGTTGTATCCTCACTAAACACATTTGTGAACGAAAATCGATGCGAAATCTCACCGCCAGCCCGAGTGCTGTTTTTGAATGCAAACGATTCCTTTGGCGCGTTCATTAAGACCGAAGTACGGCTTTCTCTCTCTACACATTGTTGATCTTCGTTTGCCTCGAGTTCTTCGCTACTAAACGGCCGTGCTCTTAAATAAACCTTAATGTATTCTCTCCCAGAAGTGTCCGAAGAGGTCTTTTCTTTTACAGGATCATCAAATTCATCGAAGAGATTCTTGCGAATGTCCGCGTCATTGTCACGGTTAGGATGGTCGATCTGACCATCATCAGGCTCTTCTTCGCCGTCCGAAATAGAACTGCGTTGATGCTCAGACATTTTGTTCTACCAAACAATTGTTTTCAGCGATTAAAATCAGAAGAACTTACAATATTTACCATACAAATCTGCGCGAAAAACTCCTTCATAAAGTTACGAGAGGGAACAATTTTGAAATTGCCACTCGTTGATTCCACTTTCATCTGATTGGTCCGTTAGGAAATGCCGCTGGCCGAATTGGGGCTAGTTCATTCATGCATTTCAGGTCTTGGAAAGAAATATTTCAAGCGTGATATACATCGACTTAATCGATCGCCCTATACTACGCCTTAGTCCATAACAATGTATAATTGACGATAATAACTGAAGGAATTTAGCCGGCATGTACCTTCGACATGTGAAACTGGTCCGTTAACCTACCGAAACCAACAGGGGCACGTAAAGTCGAGGTTCCCTGGTAAATGAATTAAGGGTGTAAGTTTCTAAAGAAACTGTGGTGCTGCGTCGGTGGGAGAGATAATTTAGCAGGTAATTTAGTGTTAACGACTGAGTTGACAAAACGTAACTGGCCACCTTAAAAAGTAAAAAAGCTGACGTTTCGAGCGTTTGCCCTCCGTCAGAGCGATAGAGTTAACGCTCAAAACGTCAGCTTGTTTACTCTTTACGGTGGCCAATTTATGTTTTTAACTCAGTTGTTAACACTAAATTACCTGCTCCCCGGTAACCTTCCTAATGTTCAAGTGAAATCATAACATCTCGATGTATAGTACTCTCGAGGCTAAAAAAAGGTCGTTGAGTTGCGAGTAACCCTTCCAACTCATGTGAAAAGACTTATTCTTAGAGCGCTCAAGTTCTTTTGTAATTCTGATGTATCGCCATTTAAGAATGGTTATCTCACTCGCCTAGTTCATTGGATCTGTCTCCATTTGGCCGGGGTCTTGATCTCCATTGTCGATGATCCGTTGGCCTTTCTAATTTCAACTGCAAATATGTATTATTTTGCATTCACATGTAATTATATAGGGACCATGAATTTGAACTGAATGAAAGAAAAAAATATTGTGGAAGTAATACCCAAAAAATTCATTAACTACTGACAGAGAGAACTACAAACTTAGTGAAAGGTTACTGTTTATTTGACTGATGAGTACCTGGTAATTCTATGAACCCAATTTTATAGTTCTAAGTGCTATCTTGGGTCATTTTTGTTTGCAGTATCACAATCCATAGTGTTCTTTATTCTAAAGTAAAAAAGAAAGAGGGCAAACTAATCTCTAATGCCAGAGAATGACCGATCATAAGCTTTTGTTGAAAAGAGAATAAAAATATTACTGCAAAGCACAAAGTAACAGACAACACACTAAATGTCCTTTGTGAAAACCAAGCAATGATTCTCCATGATTTTGCTTTGTCTCACATTAAATTTTGAACAATAAACTGGTGGCTTGGTTTGATTTGCATCATTAACTTGAATAAAATTCATGAAAACTTGGCTTTTGAGAAGTCCATCTCTGGGTGTTGTTCCATGAACCTGGCAAAAAGGAGCAAATATGAAATTACAAATTTGTTTGTCGTTCATAAAGAGAGAGGTGGTTTACATCATCAACTAAGTAAGTTTACAGCACTTGTTGAATAACAATATTTTAATGGATGGCAAGGGGGCCTCCAAACACCACAGGGCTTATACAAGATAGGCCTCCTTACTTAAAAAACATAACACACACACACACACACACACACACATATAAGCAATACACATTCATTGGGAAAATTTCCAAAGCCAAACCACCAAATGTCAGTTGTGATAGGAAACAAACTTTTTTGTTTTTGTAAACTCCTCTTTAAAATATCATATAGGTATTGCCTACCAATGAAAACACAATCCAGAGGAGTTTGTACTCACTACCTTGACAGGTAAAAATAATGGTGCAAGGTCCTGAACTTCCTTAGTGATGCAATTCAAGTAAGTAAGCCAGACAATGGGAATTTCAACTCCATTTTTGAGGGACAAAAAAACTCACTTTTTTAGGATATCTTGCTTTTTCTGTTCTTCTGAAGTAGGTAATCCCATCTAATGAAAAAACAAATGTTTGGGTTTAATCAATAATTCAAATGTTACAACTGAAGTTGACTTCTCAGAAGTTCCAAATTTCCAGTCTTGATTAACCACCTACAGTATGTTTTTCTGCAGTGCACTTGCCATTATTTGAGTTTTGACTCAGTTCCAATTGAAGTAAACATTTAAATTTTCTTCTACTCCATTTGTCTTCAAATGATGTTAACATGATTGTTGTTACTTTTAATGAGGCCACTACCCTATTTTTCCATTGTATAGTTTGTAATATATCTGATGACATATTTTAACACTTACAGCTTTTTGTCTTTGATCAAACATCATTTTCTCCACCATTCCTCTTGTTTCATCATCTAAATCCCCAAGCTGCAGTAAAGACAGCAATAAATTATGTTTTAATCAAATATAAAAAGAATTTATTATTGATTTACTAAGAAAACTGTCCACACTTTTGATTTCATCCTAGCAGGGTGAACAGGAGCAGGGGTAAACCTCAAAATTACAAAAAATTATCTCAAAATATTTCTGCCGCTCAAAGTTTTCAGAGTTTGAATAAAGAGGGTGAGTTTCTAGAGAAACTGTTGGTGGGGGTATAACAAGATAATTGGCTTTATCAACTGCGACCATCATGTATAAAGTAAAATTTAAGCTAGCACCAAGTTATATACAAGATTTATTTTCAACAAATCATATAGTGTATAACAGGTTAAACAATTTGCTATTGATTTAACTCTAGGAGCTTAGGTATTTAGGACCTGTGCTATGGGCTAAGCTACCTTCCCGTATTAGGACTTTGCAAAGTGGGTTTTACAAAAAATTATCTCAAAATATTTCTGCAAATTTTCACTCAAATGGATGAATTACAATTGTGAGTGTGTTAGAGAGATAAGAGAGAGATTTACTTATTTTACATGTAAATTATTCTTATATTAATATTTAGCTATTTAGTAGAGAGACTGTTGGCAGAATCTGTACATATCTTACATGTAAATTATTCGAACATCAATATTTTAGCTATTTACTATTTTATTTAAACTATTTTGTTGTGTCCTTAGTGGTTTCATTACTGCTATTTTTTATAATTGACACATGAATAAAGTTATTATTATTATTATTATTATTATTATTATTATTATTACTGAATTTATAAAGTAAATTGGCCACCATAAAGAGTCTCTAAGCTAATTTTGTGAGCATTAGCCAATGCATTAGCTGACGCTTGAGCTTAAGCTGCTATGTTTTTACTGAAGACATCAACAATTGTTGTGGCGATTTTATAATTTTCTCCATATTACACCCTTGGAATATTCTAACCTTTGAATTTTCTGGTTGAACTTTTTTGGTGTTAATCTCTGGATCTGTTGTCAACAGGTGTGACCACCATTCCATTTTATTAACCTGACAAAACACACACATGGGTTGATTAGCAATTAACAATAAATAACTAGTTTAATATGAAAAGAACATAAAAAAAATCCATGAAAACTGCCATTACAGTGGCTAAAAGGGCTCAAAACTCAAATCTATACAGTCACCATTTTGTGATCTGAAATCCTGAAATGGTTGCCAGGGAAAAAAATTTTTACCAGTCTGGAAAATTTCTAGTAAAATGGCAACTATCAACAAAAATGCAACCACTACTGACAGCTTTTTCTTCTAAAATGACAATCTTGCTAACTCCTTTCAAACAGAAAAGAATATTTTGTGCAATATTACACAATCTTTAAAAGAGGGAAAGATCTTTACTAACCACATAACTGCCAATTGCATGCCTTTAAATTCATGACTTTTATTGAAAGTTTAAGTCTTTTATGTAGAAAATTAACCCAATTAAACTGGTTTTCACCTACTTTTTCTAGGGTGATGACAACATTTTTCTGATCCTGCAGTACCCATGAGCACTCCTCAATCTTCACCTAATAAAAAATCATTATTGCTGTTTACCAAAATCCTTTTTGTTTATTTTGCATTTTTAAAAATTCTCCTGTATAATAAAGGTAAATTAAATTATAGCTACCTTCTTTGGCAGGTCTCCATCAATTATAGGTGGATGTCCTTTTAAGCCAACTTTTAAATGCTATGTACAGAGGAAGAGAGAAAAACAATTAATTATACCAAAATTTTATACCTGATAGTTTCAGTTTGGGTAAGTCAGTTTTGGGCAAAATAACCAGCTAATTTAACCCAAACTTTCAGAAATATTTCAGTACTATCTACATGTTGTTCACCAAGGACACCTCTAAAAAAATTTGACCAGAACATTTGAAGTGAGGATGAGCACTAAATGCACTTCATCAGAATAACAAAAGCTTCATCAGAGGAAACTTACTGGGTGACAAAAGGAGAGCTTGCACGTTTTGATACATATTTTAGGCTTCACTTTTAACCCTTATTTCAAATACCACTTCCTTAAGTAATAAAAGCATTTCTATCAAAGATTTGTACAAAACGACAAAGCTAGAAAAGGGGAAAATCAAATTTTAACCAGCAGTCAATTAAATGAACCACAACATTATGTGTTCATGATGATAAACTCTCCACAGCTTGTAGGGTTTAGCCTACAGTCAATGTTCTGATGTAGTTTGGTTCTTTGTTTTTAATTGTTAGTTTGGTCATGTAAAAATTACTATTAATAAAAAACTTACAGACTGCTGTATATCCACTATTACATCTCTTCCTTTCACTTTAAAACTGACATTTAAAGGAATCCAGGCCTTAAATTCCATTCCAAAAAGAACAACATTATTAATAAAATTTGCAGTTATATTTCAGAGAACAGTGCCACAATATTGTATGCCAGCATTGTCAGATCTTATCAGCTTATTTGATCACAGCTTCTTCAAGTAAACAAGAAGAAGCTCAATAATATCAGTATGAATCCATCATTCCATGCTGACTTCCAAATGAAGGATGTAAATTCATCACAGTGGAATTTTATAAAAATTTTAAATACAAACAAACAACCTTCCCACTAGTTTACATATTAAGGTGATGAATATTTTAGTGCTGGTGACTAGCTTGTGAACAGCTACCAGTCATTCATATGAAAAAAAAAAAATTCAAGAAAGATGGCAGGGCACATGCCATTGGAAACTTGAACTGGAAAAAGTCATCAAGTTAGCAATCAGGGAATTGGTTCACATAATGTAAATAAAAATGGTAAATATTGTATAGAAATATTAACAATGTTTGCTCTTACAGATCACATTAATTCCTAATAGACAGCTTTATTTTGAAAAAGGTAATAATTTTGAAGTCATAACATTGAAATAATAAAACAGACAGGTTGTAATTTTTTATTCCTCTGACTGTTGTACGTAAATCTGCTCACCTCTACTTCTTGCAATGTCTGAAATAAATATATAAAAAAAAGTTCATATAAGGTAAAAGTCAGTTGAAAAAAAATATCAAGTCTTGTATAGATACACACATAGGAGCTTGAATGAGTTTTATTGTAAAATACAGTAATGGTATACAGAATTTGATGTTTCAAACAGATTTTCATGTGGGTGATATAAGCTCACTAGTTTCATCAGGTAGCTTGGCAAGCTTACTAGTCGTAAGAAGTGGAATAACGCTTGTCAACTCACTTGTGTCCATCTATAGTTTTCAAGGTCAGCTCCATTGCCAGAGTTAGGTTTAAGTTTTCCTTTAGCATCTTCATCTTCATCCTCAGAGCCTTCAGCTTTGGCAGTCTAGCAGGGTAAAGAATAAGCCAAAGAGTTAAAAAATCCTTACCAAGCATTAAAACTACACCAAACCAGGAAAAAAACTTTTCCATGTACATCAAAAGCATAAGATATCTATTTATGTATCCATTAAGTGTAAATAGGAAAATGTTCTGCAACTAAAAGAAAGCACTTGACATGTTTGTACAACTTCTTAATGATAAGAATAAAGGCTAACCTCTCCATTTTCAGCCTTTCCATCTTTTTTTGTGTTTTTTTCTTCAGTCTCTTTTTGTTGCTTTTCTTTTCTTTCCTGTTCTTCACTTTTTATCCTCTCTGCTTCTTCCTCTGTCACTTCTTGTATTTTTGCCTCTGTTTTCTGCTGTGCTTCCTTATTAGCTTTTGCTGCTTTCAAAGCTTCAGCCTCCTTCTTCTCTTTTTCCTTTTTCTGGTAAACAAAAAACCACAAGAAAATAATGTTAATTTGCATATCCTCAGTAAAGAAGTCAGTAACAAAAACTGCTCCTCTCTAGTAAGAAAAGAACAAATGTTGAACAATTCAATGCAAAAACAAGGGAGCTGTCCACTGGAATCAGACAGAGACCTTACAATTCCCAAACTACTACATGTAATTCCAATTTTAAAATATTATGAAGCTTGAAACAACTGGAGCTGTATTTCAAATTAGAGGAATCAACTTAATAGTCTGCAGTTATTCCAAATTCCCAACTTGGATTCACTACACTTTGCATGAGCCTCACAACACTTAATGAAAAAATGTAACTGATCTGATGGTGTGGGGCATTGAACTTTTAAAATGCATGCAAACAATTAAAAAAAAATAGTATTCATGGGTTACATAAATGTACATATGATACCTTGTACAAAACATTTGAAGCTCAGTAAATAAATAAATGATAAGAATTAATTCAAGTAACGTATAATTCAAACAAACCTCTTCAACTTTCTTCTGATGCTCCTTGAACTTGCTCAGTACCATTTTTTCAGCATTTGCTTTCCCAGCCCCAATGAAAAAGTCTGTTTTTCTTTCCAGAAATCCAAAGAATACATCTAGCAACTGTTAAGGAACATTTTTCAATGACATCGAATGTGAAAAATGTGACGAACATATAGCGAAACAATTAAAAGATCAGAAAAGATGTTATGGTATTTTCAATACTTCTTGACTTGCTTGATGCAAGCTGGGGTGTGCTCCTCACAGATAACATAGCTTCAGCGGGAAACGACACTTTAGTGGCATATTTAATGGCATATTTATAGATCTGTTCCAAAGAAAATCAACCTGGATACAGATTAAGTAATTTCTCCCACGTACCTCAGCAATCCCTCCTTCGCATTGCTGTGCAATCGCGAGCAACATTCCATCAAAACGTTCTGAATGTGAATCTGCCATGTTCTTATTTGGCTGGGAAGTCTCAATTAACACAGAGAGACTGGAATTTTCAACTATCCTGTCTAAGTTTTGAGAAGAGAGAGTTACTTTGTCAAAACGACCAAACTGCAATGTGCTTCCACTGATTACTTTATGTTTCAAGACACATTCTGTCACTCAGGGAAGAGGCCGCTGGGAAACTGTGGGCTCTTTATCACCTGCAAAGTACCCCGGGAAGTAATCTAGCAATGGCGGACCAAGAAGGAAATATATTTTCTTTTGACGAACTTGTAAATATTTTCAGTTATCTTTCGCCTGGAGAACTTTCTAAATGCTCTCAAGTCTGCAAAGATTGGTATGAAGCCTCCCAAGTTGGTTCTTTATGGAAGAAGCATTGTTTGCAGAGATGGAACTTCTGTCATCTGGGAAAACTGAAACCTGGTTCGTGCGTTAGAAATAATTATTTTCAAAATGGGAATTTCTTACCAGTTTTTTATTCTCTCCCATCCCTCCATTACAGTGATGCACAGAGACTGTAGGACTGTGTTAGAGCTTGTTTACTCTCTTAATGTTCCAATATTCAAAGGGAGAGCGGAAGGGAACGCTATTTAGTGGTGGAAAAATGTCTTTATTTAGTATCAAGACAATTTGCCAAAGTCTCAGTATTGATACTGTTGAGTTTCATCTCTTAACAAACCATTTATTTCTGTAATGTGTAACAATGAGTGACAATCAATGACAAAGGAGTTGAAACACCTTCCCATGTTTATATGAATACTGGAAAATCATTGCATCTCTCATACACTTGTTTTTAGCCCCCTAACCCAAAATCAGTGTTGCGTTTTATATTGCAGAGGCTTAATGCATTCAAATTAGCACAAAATTTATCATAGGAAGTAGGGAAAAACAGGATGAAATGAAATTCTTACCATTGTTATAGTTTTAAAATTACAACAACTTCATCTGTTGCTTTTCAAACCTTGATATCTACCAGTATCTACTTTTTCTACAATTGATCTATCATACTTTCTGTTGATAGATTTAGGTAGGCATGGTTGTCGTAAAGACTGTGAATGTGTTATGTTATAAATGTCACTTTAAACATAACATAGATGTCATTTAAGGCTTTAATTCCTATGAGTGACTAAGACAGAATTTCTCCTCACAATATCAATACAATATCAACCAGATAAGTGATGAAAATAAAGAAACATATCAATTTGGGGATAATTAGTTGATTCAATACTAGATTCTTTGAACTAACATTATGAGAATTGTATGGTTGAAAGTAAGGAGAATTACAAATTTGATGTGGTAGTTAAAGGGTTAAGAAGGTGGTCATCAAGAATAAATAATTGATTTGATTTCTTCCTCTTTCAAGGAGAGAGAACATGGCAGAGGTACTATGTGGCTCGGAATAAGATTGAAACTGGTGTAGCCACAGGGAGGCCAGGCCAAGATTATGTATGCAAAACATTACGTGGGCATAAGGGCCAGATCACAGATGCAGTTTTTGTCACAAGCAATGATGTTTATAATGAGGAAATAATTGAGAAGAATGTCTATCCGATTGTTGCAAGCTGCAGTCAAGACAAGTCTGTATGTGTATGGAATGTGCGAGAAGGAAGAAGTTTGTGGAAGAAGCAATCTCATGAATCATCAGTTGCCTGTCTAACAGTTTTCTCCAATAATACTCTGATGGCAAGTGGAGATGTTGGAGGGAACATCAAGTTGTGGGACATCAATACAGAGCAAGCCTCTCCTTTGCAAGGCAGCCATTCTGCTGTCGTAGCCTCAATGGTGTGTGGAAAAGATGTAATTGGACAAGAGAGAGGTGGAGACCAACTTCTTTTTGTTGGGTTCAGAGATGGCTATGTTAAGATGTGGGATCCACGGCAGACATTAAGTCCTCAATATGAGCTAACATGTTCATTTGGGTTAAATTGTGTGAAACTTCAATCTGACCATCTTATGGCTGTAGCCTCTAAGTCTGAAAGCACCATCAAGATATTTGATATAAGACACCTTGCACCAGACTGCTGGAAGAGCCCTGAGATGCAAATCCTTCAGCATCCATCTGATTCAGTTGTGACTTGCTTTAGTTGGGTTCATGGCAAACAGAACCAAATTATTGCAGGGTTCAACAATGGTGATGTCATCCTCTGGAATACAGACACTAGGCAGCAGATTCATTGTTTTCAGGGACACATAGGAGAGGTGTCATGTATCAATACGAGGGGATCAACTTTGGTAACTGCTGGCCATGATCATACTGTCCGTTTGTGGGATTTAAACTCACTTGAGGCATTACAAACCCATACTAGTCATGAGGGACCGATTACAGGGCTGTATATTGACAGTTACAGAGTGATATCTTGCTCAAGGGATTACTCCATCAGAACTTACTGTTGGTCAAAGAGTTCAAACAATCTAGACAGTAAATACACTCTCCTTGGCGGCTCACTGCAAAGAGCAGGGAATGGATTTGAAAAAGTACTTTGTGATTACTCTACATGTGTTGGTATGGCAAATGATGTTTTAAAAGCATACTCTTTTCAGGTATAATCATAACCATTGCAATTTCCTTCAATGTGATTGGTGCATAAGCTGCATTTTTTTTCTTTAATTATTCTGTAGAGTTGTAGTTGGACAGTGAAATTGAGCAGTTTGTTGTAATTGCACACCTGTAAATGGACAGTTAAAGCAGCCAGTTATACTAAGTCCACTCAATGAAATCCACCTATCGAAAAATTGATTACAATAGCCATAGCAACAACCACTTCCCTACAAAACTGGGGGTTCCAAAATGAAAGATTTTTTTACATCAGACAATGTCTCTATCCGAGATATTTTTCCCAACTTTCTCTTCTTTCCACAGTTTTTAAAATTTTCTTTTCAGAAGTTATAATAGTAATGATTAAACCATTTCTGTCTGTAATCATACTTTTAATTAACAAATCACACTCCTGCTGGGATTTTGTCTAATTTTGTTAAAGATTATTACAGTAACAGACTGAATTGGACTTCACTCAATCCTATTACCATTACTTGTTAGAATTTTGTTTGTTAGAAACCAGTAAGATTACAATGGAATTCCTTGATTGTGTAACTAGGATTTTCATTTTTATAACAATTTCTGATAATGGTTGTGTAGCTAATTAAATTAATGTACTTTGTTTGTTTATATGAAGCTCAAAACTAACTTTATACTTAAACAGCCTTTTGCACTAGTTTCTGACTGTTCAATTTACTACAAAGTAGATTTTGACCAGTCAGTCTGATACAGATGTTCTCTTAAAGTGAGCAAAATATATATATATTTTTCATGAGCACCAAAATTTTATTGAAATGTACCTTAAAAACCAAAATGCCATCACAGGTGATATCAGTGAAACTATATTTTGAGATTTCTACACTTTGTTATTCTTTCTTTGTCTTTGTCTTCTCTTATATAGTGGGAATTATTTCCATCCAAATTTTTACCTCATCATAACAATTATTGTTTTCACTTGACCCAGAATTAAGGGGAAAAAAAAATTCAAATTTTACTTGTACCTCTGATATCTTTAGTAAATTCCTTCAATATGGATCATGATTTGAATGACTTATGCTAAGAAATACAGAACCATAAATATATTCTTCTTGCTTAAATATACATTTGTATTTACTTAAGAGTTTCATTCAAATTTAACTTGGACAAGACAAAATAATTTCTTGGAGAACATTGTGACCAACTGGTACATGAAACACACATTGCCATGAACAAAGTTATTTTTTGTTTGAACTTAATAATAATAATAATTATATAGAAATGAATATTTATACAGGATAGACCCTCAGTACATAGGTACTGTTATCAAGGGGATCCTATTTAAATGATAAAAACACAGATATGATAAAAATGAAAATCAAATAAAATATGAATTTTGCTAACGCAAACCTGCAGTAACTACACTATACAAAATAAAATTCATCGAGAGACTTCCTAAATAATACCCTACAGCTAATCTGCCAGGGTTTTAAAGGTAAAGAGTTAGAAGATACAGGGCCTGAAAAATGTAAAATTTTTGGAGGAAAATCAAGTTTCAGTTTGTCACAAATTGTAGTTGATACTAAAAACAACTGCATGTAAGTCTACACAATACGATAATAATAATAAACGATACTTTTGGAAGAGTACCGGCAAAAGTGTATCTTATAAGTACGTAAAGCTAACGCTTTGCCTTCGTTTGAGTTTCAACGTTTAGTTTATCTTCCTTTTTTCCCCTCGTACATTAATTCCTACACTCCAAGTTCTGATGATGTGATAACGTGAGAACCAAAATGTAATGCAAACACAATTAAGGACCTCTTTCGATGTCTGGTTTAGGCAGTAGATATGACCTCTCATCTGTTGACTGGATACTACGTGTTTTTTGGCTAGATATTTCGAGTTCCACCATCGATGAAGGGGTGAATGATCTCTTGCAATTCAGCGAAAGTTTCTGAACGCTATAATTTAGACAACTTTGGAATTTTTCAGTGAAGAAGCAAAACAGTAAGAAGTTTGCAAAGCCTTGGCTACTGTCACCAATTCCCTATAGAGCAAAGAAAGGAAAGAAATTTGATTTATGACAAAAAAACAATGGACGTTATTCCTGCTGGAATAATCGCTTTACCCATTCCTTCCTAAGCAGTTCTTTGAAAAACCTTAGAAAAGACGATACAGGAAAATAACAAAGGCCTTCTGGGCCGACTATATAATTTTCTAGAGTATTCCCTCCCCCTACCCCCTACCCCCTAGTATGGGCAATATCCGCTCAATTAATTCAAGTCACAGTAGTTTAAGGGTCATGAATCATAGGGAATCCCACTGAAGTTTCATTTTCCAGCCTCTTACATTTTTACAAGACCTACTGAAATCTCCCCGTAAACTTTGATTGAAAGTAGACATATTCAGCGCGCGTTCTTGACTATACTTTAGCAACAGAGCTTAACCCTGACCACACACATAACTAATAAATTGTAGCTAATACTAATGTATTGTAACTAATAAGTTGTACTGTGTTGTATTATCTTGAATAGGAAGTCCATGTAGCCGCAAGTTTGCGTGACAGTGTGATAGTGAAACATTTCGCTGTTCACATTGTCACATTCATCTGATACAAGTAAAATTTTTTATGGCAAAAAAGTTTGCTAGCTATCGAGTATCTCCTTTGCAGCCATCCTTTGAGGGGCTCTGCGCGACATTGTTTTAAGTTAGAACGAAATGATTATCATGGGTGAGGTGTAATAATAAGTCATTGAGCTGTTGACTATGAATTAACAACATTGATTGATTGATGGATGGATTTCCGATAGATAATGTGAAACCGAAAGGCAAAGGGGTTTTTTTTATCGATGTTCCGCGAATCGGGTAATGGGGTCAAACTGACAGGACTTCACGGGTGCCGAGTACCCACACGGGAATCCAATTCTCTTGAGTGTCTCGTGATTTTGATCGTCATAGACATTTTAACAAAATTAGAACACAGAAGATAGTAAGATTGGCCACCACACCAGTCGAGAAAAAAAGTCACACTGAGCTGCACATCACAACAAACTAACCTGTAGATAAAGAAATACTGTTCCGTAAGTTGTATTCAAACTGTGAACACCAGCGAAAGTGTAAAGGATGAAGCGAAGTGTTCCCCAAATGCGAATTAAAATGAACGTGACTGGAACTAGCATCAATCTTTTTTCGGCTTTTATGGCAGCTTCCTTTGACTGAGGAGATGAAAACTGCGCTTTCTCATTATATATCTGGAGGAGAGAAAAAAATGTCCATTATATTTTACTTTGTCAGAAAAAAAGTCGAACTTTTTAAACATGTTTAATATCTACTGTAACCTGTCAATGTTCATGGTGTGCGTGAATAGATACTTAGGAAATGACAAGAAGAAAATACTAATAATTTTCAAGATGCAGAACGACACACATTTAATTTATGTGGTTTGTTGAGCACCAGAAAGGAAAGTGTCTGGTGCAGAAAAATTTTCCTGACAGTTTAAGCACAGTGAGGCAGACCACACCCCCAATCCAAAATTATGGACAACACTTTCCCAGTCCTAGAAATACAAAGAGAACCTTCACTTACCTCCTTGCGAATTCGACACTTTAACATCAGGTAAAATATTGAGCAAAGAAAATAAGCAGTTATTTCCCAGGCTTTTCCTGTGAATAACATCCATATTTCTTTCTCTCCTTTCTTCAAACGCCCGTCAATCCAGCACCAGCCAGCACTATCTACATGATCTTGGCCCAACTTTCCAAGTCCAAGCGCAACACTTACAATAACCAGAGGGAGACCCCATCCAATGATGTGGAAAAATTTCATCATTTCATCGGCTTTGTTACCCCGTTGTCTCGCCACAGCAGTGTACATATATATGCCAAGAAAAACCGTCCAAAAAAACGACCAAAGCGAGGCACATGTTGAAATAAAACTCTGAGCCTTACACGCGTTGTTATTCTCGTCTACCAGCCATACTCCGAGTAAGTTTCCTCCCGCTATGAGGAAATCAGCGATGGAAATGTACACCAATATTCGCCTGGAATTTGATCTAAAGTCCTTCCACGCTAAAAATGTTGCAATTATCAAAAATGTTCCTAATAACGAGAAGCTTGCAGAGATTGTTGTCAAAGCTTTGTTGACCTCCCCGGCGGCTTCCTTGTCGTAGCTCATGATTACGACGGTCACATTTGTTTTAAGGACATTTCACTAGCTTCGAAGTTTCAAACCTTTAAGATGAAATAGAGCTGAGGGTTAAAAATCATTTAGTGTAACAAATATACTTATAGAATAGGCTTCATCATTTGTCACATGCTCTAAGCACATCTCGTAACGTGAACATGCGGAAACATGCAGATCACATTTCAGTCACAAGTCACGCGAGGCGCTCATACTGCTTGTGGCTCTCTGATCCTTAGTATTGGGCCTATTTTCTCTTAAAACAATTTTTTCCGGAACATTCATCATCGTATAAGAGAGTCAAAAAACCTTCACAAGGTATTATCGAAAGTAAATCTGAGGGCTCTGTGACGATCCTATTAAGATGAAAATGATTGTTCTCTGTTTTCGCCCTAGTATAAATGTTTTGTTCATTGTAATAGACATGTGCTGAACATGAGCGCATTGTATACAAGCTGAGCCTGTTCGCACTTGACGGTGAAGGGCCGTAGATGAAAAGTTCTGTCGTATATTTAACAACGAACCTTTCCTGACATCGCAAAAACAGTCACGAGCTTTTCATGTTATCAGCGTTATCCTTGATGTTTTTGTTATTCTGGACTAAGCAGCTCATCAGGTTGCTATTCAGTTGATTAGTTCCGAATTTGTCACGGGTTGCTTTCTCGGCTAACTTACTGAATAACTTCACTGATTTGGAAAAGTGGCGATCTGGGAAATCAGCAGGTTTTTTTCAAGTCGATGGATTTTAAATTTAAGTCAATTTTCGATTCAAATGAAACATTTTTGTTATAACGGTTCTGAGTAAAACATAAATGAAAGGAAAGTACCTGCACTCTTTTTTTCCTATCTCATTGGCCAAGACACGTGCTCAGTTGCCAGCAGGCGTATTCCCTTTGCCCTTTGGCATATCCACGTTTCGAAGCGAGCGCTGTTGCTTTGCGTTCACTCGTGGCAGTTAAAGTGTCATAAAACAAAGGAATGGTGTTAGCCAAATAAAATTCAGTCAAGGGGGAGGTGAGAGGAAGTCACTTGAACCGAAATCAAATATTACAGAGAGGTAAGTTTTCTTCATCACACTAGTGGTCTAGTTTTGTCACACAATGCGTTCTCGACCCAATTTGTAACGTGACTTGATTTCCTTGAACCGTAATCAAGTTTACGTTTCGAAGAATCAAGTTTGCGTCTCAAAGAACCAAGCCCGCGTTTCATTGAATCATGTGTCTGCGTTTCAAAGGATCACGTTTGGGTTTCAATGAAATCAAGTTTGCGTTTCAAGGAATCAAGACAATATATTTTCATTAACTTTCAAGTGATGCCTGAGGTTTTATCCATACAGATTTTCCTTCTTCCTTTGTTTGTTTTGTATTACCACTCAGTTCTGGAAGAGCAAAAATGAAGGAATATCTTTAGGATAAAAAATTTGAATGATCAGTTTAAGGCCTTTAGCCGTCAGGAAAATAGATACCCAACAGCAAGTGTAACCTGCAGTCCAATAATTATTCTATTGACTGATTAGTAAGTTTAAGTTTGGTTTAAGTCTGGTTAACCCTTTAACTCCCATGAGTAACCAAGACAGAATTTCTCCCTACAATATCTGTACAATATCAAGCAGATAAAAGACGAGAATAAAGAAAAACATGTCAAATTCTCAGAAGTTATATCATTAAAATTGTGGACAGTAAGGAGAATAGCTAATGAGATCTTGGGAGTGAAAGGATTAATACTGTCCATCATGTAGTCATCATTATGGAATTAATGGTTCCTTGGTGTCTTTTGTAGATGGAACTCATGGTCCTTATTCTACTGATGTGCTGGTGGTTGCTAGAAGACTTGACCTTTCATTGATCAATGTTCTACGACCATTTTGATACTCAGCAGATGTGTCTATCCTTGGAGGTGGATCATCTGATGGTGATTTGCAGCACATAAGACATTCCTTAACAGCAAGTTTCAGACTAACTCTGAATTTTTTAGTGAAAAGACAAAATAGTAAAAAGTTTGCAAAACCTTGGCTGCTGTCACCAATTCCCTGAAAATTTAAAAACAAAACAATGAACCAAAAAACTTTGTTATGGAAATTAATAGTAACTGTGGACCATAACCATTTGTTAGTATTATGGTGTATGGAAACACTGCAGAACTCTATGGCAATTACCAAGAAGCTACTAGTACATGACAGAGACAAAAAAGGGTAATAATGATTAACAACTTGCTAAGATTCAAAAAAAAAAGGAGAACAGAATATCCTGAAAGGAGAATAACAATGGTTGAGTATGGATAAAATCAACAAAGATCTTGAATAATAATTTTCAAGATGCAGATTTTTGGTGATAGTATGGAAATCTGCCTCAATCAACACAAAAAGCTAAAGAATTTTCATCTTACACATGGGAACCTTGGGCAAATTTAGGAAGAACCACCCAATTATAAAATGCAGCATATGAAAAACTTATTAATATTATTATAATGTAATGATGATAGTAATAATAATGATAATACATGTAAAATATAATTTGCAAAATAAATAATTTTCTAATGAAGTCACTTTTATTGTGAATTAGGATTAGGACATTTCTTTGATATACCTCTCCAAGCAATGAGGTCATTCAGTCAAGCATCACCTTATGATACCTTAGAGTGCTGGGGTTGGTTGGTTTTCAGTGAAACAGCTGAGATTTTAACACTTTGATCTCCTAGTGATGTACTCCCAAGAAGTTCACAACAGCACAGTTCTAAAAACAATCTCACTTGTTTCTTGATCTTTGGTACATTGCTTGAAGAAAATTTGCAATTGAAAGCACTTGTAAATTTGAACTTTGTAATCTACCACAGGAGTGACAACATCATGAGAAAATCAACAGAACCATCAATAAATTCACATCTTTACAACCCCTTATCTAAAAATATGGCATGTTTTGTGAAACAACTGGTTGGTCAACTGCTTTGTTTTGACTTCAAGATACTCAAAAACTAACCTGAAGGTAAAGAAGAGCTTTTTCCCATTCTGAATTAAAAGTTGCTACACTGTTCGACAAATAAATGATGAAGCGAATTGTACCCCAAATGCGCACAAGAATAAAAATGATGGGTACCAATGTAAGCCTTCTCTCTGCTTTAATAGCAAATTCCTTTGACTGGTGAGATGAAAACTTTTGGCGATGATAGACCTACATGTAAAGAAATTAAAGGTTAAATACAGATTTAACAGCTACATGGAAGGTGGAAAAACACTTGCTGTGAGGAATAGAACATGCTTAATGTGGGCCACAAATGGACTTCTTGTGCTCAAGTGTTACTTTTTTAAAATAGATTTTAAATAATCGAATTCTTATGCAATCGATTGAATGTGTGAGTTAATTTCAAATTACTTTTTAATAATCAAATTTTAATGAAATCATCTATATCATTGGTTTAATAATCTTCAATAAACATAGTTTTATACTCTGTTTTGATTTTTATCATCATCATTATTATTATAATCATAAAAATTACAATTTCCTTGATTGTGATTACTTTACAAAAATTCCTTTTTTCCACTAATTCATTTGCCAAGTTGTTATCAGACAGTTTGTTATTGGATAGTTCTTATTGGACAGTTCAATAAGCCGATCACTTTCAAAGCTGTAGTTTAACTCAACCAATCACTTTTTAAGTTGAAGTTTAATTCAACCAATCACATTTTAAGTTGTATTTTAACTCAACCAATCACATTTTAAGTTGTAGTTTAACGCAACCTATCACATTTTAAGTTGTAGTTTAACTCAAGCTATCCCAACCTTGGTTTCAATCACCATAGAAATAATGTTGCAAAGTGATGATGAAATTTCTGGTCAAGTATTAAGGAAAAGAATCAGTTTAATGAATATGGAAGCAATCTTTACAGTTATGAACACTACTTAAGTGGTGCTGAAAATAAGGCCTGACAAAAATTCAAGCCCGTACAGGATTTGAACCCATGACCTCTGCAATACCGGTTCACATGTATGATTTTCACATATTTACAGACAGCTATTCATCACTTCACAGATTTATTTGGAACCAACAGAATGACCAGCTCCCAGTTGGCTTGTTAGCTCAGCTGGTAGAGCAATGCACTGGTATCGCAAAGGTCATGGATTAAAATACCGTAACTGCAAAGATCACTTCCATATTTATTTCTTTATCCGCAGGTCAAATATATGATCTTCATATATTTACAGTCAGAATTAGTTTAAATAAGAAAGTTGGATTCTTTGAAGAAGAAAGGAAAGAAAATCCTGGCTAACCGATGCATAGTTGTGTCTAAAAGTAGCAGGTACAAGTACCACACAATACACATTACCTCCTTACGAATATGACACTTTAACATCCAATAAAATGTAGAAATAAGAACATATGCAGCCACTTCCCACACTTTGCCTGTGAGTAACATCCATTTTTGTTTCTCACTTGTCTTCAACTCACCACTGATCCAACACCAGCCAGCACTGTAGAAATCATGGTCATTTCCTAACTTGTTAAAGGCGATACCAGTTACTGTTAACGGAACAACCCAAGCAAAAATGTGGAAATATCTCAGCATCTTGTCAGCTTTTTCAGCCTGCTTTCTTGCCACAGTAGTGTACAAGAATATGGATAGAAAAGTCGTCCAAAAAAATGACCAAAGCGAGGCACAAGTTGTGACAAAACTCTGAGCTTTGCACGCAGCAGTAGTGCGATCATTTTCCGGCAGCCATACTCCAAACAAATTACCTCCAGCGATTAAGAAATCGCCTATTGAAATAAACACAAGTATCTTTCTGGAAGACGATCTCAAGTCTTTCCATGCGATGAATGTGATTATGATCAGAGAAGTTCCCAATAACGAAAGACTCGCTGACACAGTTGTAAGAACTCTGTTGACAGGTGAGTTAGCTTCGGTTTCAAAAGACGTGTTAGCGAAGGTAGGGGATTCTGGCGACATACTTGCATTGAGGCCTCCTATAAGGGGCCTCTGTGGTGCTTAGCTTCACTACCAATCAGCAAATGGAGATTATTTGAGGAATGCATCGATTTCTGCAAGGCTGCTTCAAGCACCACTCAATCGAGAGATTCAGCACGTCTCAGTTGTTACTTTCTTTGTTACTTGATACGTTTTCCCTGCTATGTTTGTT